TTGCCGCGTTAGAATTTCTATGCGAACGCCCGGCTTATTCGCTCCTGCTATGCTCTCCTCTATGGCTCCATATGTATTCACTGTTTTCCGCCGAATGTTCAGTTCTTTTTCCAATTTCTGTTAGAATTCCGCCGCGAGATTGCCGGTGGCCATTTTCTATCACTCACTCTCCTTTCCATTCCTCGTGTCCTCTGCCTATCTGCCGGTCTGGACCCTGGTGAGCTCCCTAATTTTCCTCCTAATAGCTATAACTAGCCTGGGGTGATTAACTCCTGCTAGTTGAAACTTCCTCTCTCAGTATAGTCTTTTCTAATTAATTCAGCAGCTCATATTTATATATATATATATATATATATATATATATATAATTATTACTTGTGTCTTTGGGATAACTCTCACTAATAATTATTATGCCTAAATCTAAAGGGTCTGCTACCCCTCTTTCCCCTGGGGATATGGATGTACCCAGTGTGCTGGATAACCCTGTTCCGTTACAGACGCCATTATGGCCGCCATGGGCTCCATGTCCTCGGCCCTTTCCCAAACTATATTTCAGGCCTTACTGGCACGCCCTGTGACCGCAGAAGCACCGGCCACGCCAACGCGCTTAGCGCGTTCCTCTTTGAACCCCTCAGGGGACATTCCTAGAAAGGCCAAATCTAGACACCTAAGCCCCCCCACCTCCAGAACCAATAAGACTGGTGTTAATATATCCACCCATGATAGCGTGCCTATGTCACGCAAGATAGCCTTTCCGCGCCAGGCAGAACGGGCGCGGCACTGGAAATGTGCCAGAGCACATGCAGAGAGCGACTCCGGCTCAGAATTCGGGTCTTGTGAGGAGGCTGTTGACGAGTCCGTAGATGACTCCAATGATGAGACTGACGGGCAGGACACTGACCCTTTTGCCCCTGCCCTATCAGGGTTGGTAATTAGTGGCTCTCGCAGTGACTCCCCCGCTATACGGGTTCAACCCTCATGGACCCGCCTGGGGAAACTATGTTTGACCCGGATGCTCTCCATCACCCGAAGTTGGCAGAATGGCTCCCAGCCGCCCATGTAGCAAAGTACCTGGAGAACTGGGTATGGCGCCCCCTTATCAAGGTGGCGCGCAACAAGCTCAGGGCAGAATGTCCTAGACCCCTGATCCCCAATAAAGTCTGTGAGACTCCCATTGTAGACCCAAAAATGTCAGTTTCTTTCTAAGATGGGTTGGAATCCCTGTAAGGGTTTGGACTCAGCATTAAAGTCCTGCCAGGACAAACACCTGGACATTTTTGGCCCCTTGGCTAAATTATTCGACCTGGCCGAACTAGCCAGAACTGAAAACAGGCAGGTCAACCCGGAAGAAATCCGTGGTTGGGTGCAGAGGGCAATCTGTATAGCAGGTAGCGTATATGCCTCCCTGTCTATAGAGCGGCGTAAAGCCATCCTCTTCAAAATCGAGCCTAAATTGGCCAACCTCGCCCTCATTGAAGTGGGCAAAGATGCCCAGGGCCTGTTATTCAGAGACTCCTTTATCAAGGATCTGGGGCACTTTGTAGGTGCTTTCACAGCCCTAGACAAGGCCCAGTCCTCTATGAAGAGGGTATTTCAGGGACGGGTCTCTACCAGGGCCGGCAGATTCAGGGGCCGTCTGTCCGGCCGGTCAAATTTCAACTCCCGAGGATCGGGATGGGGCTCCTATAACCAGACACCTCGTCTCGTGGAAGACCATGGTGCTCCAGAGGCTTCAGAGGGAACCCCGGTTCCAGACGCCCTTACGGTAAGACTACAACTACCTCATGCTTTTTCCAATATCTGTGTAGGGGGCAGACTCCGTCATTTTTTCCATGCCTGGTTAGACATCACCTCAGACTCCTGGGTTCTGTCCACAGTAAGGGGGTTTCACATAGAATTTGTAGACACCCCGTGTCATATTCCTCCCCCTCACCCCATGGTACTTTCAAGGGCAAACCGAGCCTTAATAGACGAGGAGCTATTGGCCCTCCGCATGAAGGGAGCGATAGAACGAGCTCTGATGCCCCATACAGGTGTTCTCAGCAACATCTTCCTTGTGGAAAAGAAAGGCGGCCAGATGCGCCCAGTTATCAATCTTCGGGCCCTAAACTCCCTAGTGCGCTACTGCCACTTCAAGATGGAGGGCATCTATCTCCTGCGGGACTTACTCCTTCGTGGAGACTGGATGGCGAAATTAGACATCAAAGATGCTTAACAGTCCCGGTGACCGAGACATCCAGGGACTTACTACGCTTCCTCTGGAAAGGCGACACTTGGCGCTTCACATGCCTCCCCTTCGGGCTCTCGTCAGCTCTGTGGTGCTTCACCAAGTTGATGCGACCTGCCATGGCTTGGCTGCGCAGCCGAGGGGTAAGACTGATAGTCTATTTGGACGACATCCTCCTCATGGCACAAGATCGGGGGTCCTCCTGAAACACCTACAATGGACGATGGATCTACTCTGTCGGCTGGGTTTCCTGCTCAATGGGGAAAAATCCTGCCTATCCCCTTCCCGACACATGGAGTTCCTCGGGTTCACGGTGGACTCAGAAGCGGAGTCTCTCAGTCTCCCCCCCCGCCAAAATACGCTCAATTCGCAAGGAACTACGCCGCGCCCTTGCGCTCCCAGCTGTTGCTGCGGCACCTGGCACGACTCATTGGCCTGCTGGCCTCCTCAATCCAGGCAGTGTTCCCAGCCCCGCTCCATTATCGTGCCCTCCAACGCCTGAAGATCGCACATCTTCGCAAAGGGGCCTCATATGCAGACTTGGTTTCCCTGGACTCGGAATCCCGAGACGAACTGACCTGGTGGATCCACAACCTATCCGCCTGGAATGGCAAGGCCATCTTCGGCTCAGAACCGGAATTCACGTTGGACTCAGAAGCAAGTCTCCACGGTTGGGGCGCCCAATGCAACGGTGTGACTACCGCGATCGCTGGACAGAGGCCGAATCCCAGCTCCACATCAATGCCCTGGAACTACTAGCCGGCTCCTTTGCAATCCGGAGTTTTGCGAACGGGACTGCCAGTGCATGCATCAGGCTGCGCATGGACAACATCTCAGCAGTTCGCTATGTCAACCACTTGGGCGGCACATGCTCAGCAATGCTGGCCCGTTTGGCGAAGGACTTCTGGACCTATTGTTTGGCCAGGGACCTAATGGTCCAGGCGGAATACCTCCCCGGTCTTCACAATACCCATGCGGATTGGAGCTCACGCTATCTGTCGGACAGCAGCGATTGGAAATTGGATGTAGAGGCGTTCTCCACTATCTCGTCCCTCTGGGGACCATTGGCGATCGACCTTTTCGCTTCCAGACTCAACGCCCAACTGCCCCGGTTCTACAGCTGGCACCCAGACCCGGCCGCAGAAGCAGTGGATGCCTTCCTGCAAGACTGGTCCAGCTCACCCATTTACACCTTCCCTCCATTTGCCATGATTCCCCAGGTGCTACTCCAAGTACGACACCAGATGGTGGACTTGGTCTTGCCAGCCCCATTCTGGGATACCCAGTCTTGGTTCCCACAACTCCTGGAACTGGTGATAGACGTTCCCGCACTTCTGCCATCCTACCGGCACCTTCTGCTGGACCCATTGGGCCAACAACACCCCCTCCTACTGGAAGGATCGTTACGGCTTCTTTCAGGGGTCCCTGGGAAATCCAAGGCGTTTCGGACGCAACTCAACGCCTCCTGGCAGATGCATGGGCTCCCGGCACTAGACGATCATATGGGACCGCTTGGAGAGCTTGGACTGGCTGGTGCCTGGCTCAGGACCTGGATCCCGTTGCGGCTCCTGTGACGGCGATACTCCAGGTCCTCATGTCATTGTTCGAAGCGGGTCGGGCATACCGCACGATTAATCTGTATAGATCTGCCATCTCTTCGGCTCATCATGGTTTCAATGGCTGTCCAGCAGGCCAACACCCCTTGGTGTGCCGCTTACTTAGGGGTTCACGCCTGTCGCGTCCCCCCAGACCTCGATACACGGCTACATGGGACGTCTCCTGTGTCCTGTCACTGTTTTCTTCCTGGCCTCCTAATTCGGACCTCACCCTGCGAGAGCTGTCAGCCAAGTTGGTTTCTCTGTTCTGCCTCATTTCGTGCAACCAGGTCTCAGAGGTCCGGGCCCTGGACTACGATGCGAGATCTTTCACCCCAGACGGGGTGACATTTAATATCTCCAGAAGGACTAAGATGGCCATACGTTCAGTCTCGTATCCGAGTTTTCCAACTACCCCGATGTTATAAAAAGATCAAGGTAGGATCAGCGCTGATAATGCCATAGAAGGTGTATAAATTATAAAAAGGCAGCACACCTAAAGGGGGTAACCCTTCTATCCCCTAAGGCTAGAACAGATAGATAAATCAAAAGTAGGGCGCGCCTTGATAAAAATATATAAAATGTATCAATAAAAACGTACAATAAAAGATGAAAATAAAAAGAGTCCAGATATTATAGTCCACAGAATGTTCTTGTAACGTGATGTGGTATCGTCCCAGATGATGATTTTCAGTATTGACGGTGGATAATATGTGAAGAGATAAAAGGAACAGCCAATGGTACAGTATGTCTGTATATATGCGAATATATTAAAAAAATAAATAGAATTACTCACAATTTCCAGAGCTAGAATCCAGCTCTGGTATGAAGTGCGTGAAGTGGAATGATCCCCACTCAAGGATATATGGAGCCTTTTCTTGAAGGTATTGATGAGTCACCAAGGAGTCCAACCGGAAATTTAAGCCGATAAGATATATAGTGCTCACTGTTTGGTTGCAATTGAGTATATAAATAGTATGGAAATATACTCAAAGTATATTGAGCAATCCTCTCTGCTCAATTTTTAGGCGTATGGGTGATATAATCCCCACCTAGGGATATTCTTTGGATTCGTGATGATTCAATTCAGTCAGGTATAAGGATAAAAACTATAATAAAAATAGGAATGTGGCAAATGCAATATATGAGGCCAAAATTCCTTTATTATTACAATATAAAATACATATAAAATTAGATTCTAAACGCGTTTCGCCCACAACAGGCTTATATTCTACTTGAAGAAGCCTGTTGTGGGCGAAACGCGTTTAGAATCTAATTTTATATGTATTTCATATTGTAATAATAAAGGAATTTTGGCCTCATATATTGCATTTGCCACATTCCTATTTTTATTATAATTTTTATCCTTATACCCAACTCCATACTCCATACTTCTGCTGCTTTGCGAGCTAAACACTAAATGAATTTCAACACGCTTTTATTTCATGCAGTCTTCAAAACCTGGTCTGTGTAATGCTACAGTGAAATGTTTATACTTGGAGATTCATTTCATTACGAACCAAAATATATTCAAATTGGGGCCTATCAGATGGTCATTTGAATACCCAAACTCCAAGCTGAAATTTATCAGAATCCCGAAACAACGAAACGCCCAATGGATAAGCATGTTAGTTTTGATTCATAATTCAAAATTCAGGCCAGCTATGGCGCAAAATAAGAGATGTTGGATTGATGAGAAATATGATGACAGGTGGCAAAGGGATAGCCATAAAATATTGATTTTATTCACAGATCAAATGAGAAGTGATAAACAGAGAAAAAAGTAGGAGCAATAAAAAAAAAAAATAATTATATATATATATATATATATATATATATATATACACACACACACAGTTAGTATGTACTTTACAAGTAACGCCAATCCTCCATTTCAAGCCAGTAACCAACCTCATGCTGATGAGTTGCATTAACAATGAAACAGCGGTCCATGAGTGGTTCACTGGCTTTGTTCCTCTTCCTGAGTTGTGTTTCAAACCTGTTGCATACAGTAGACACATACTACAAGGAATCCATGTATAAAGTGGAATTAGGAGTCAAAAATATGTTCTTTGTTGAGCTCATTTGCATATGCCTACCCACAATCCCTTGCAGTAGTGAGAGCACTGTTAAAGTGAGATTTCTGTGGGAAAAGCAATTCTTATGGCTTGCCTGGTGTATGTATTTGTGTTTCACAATGTATTAACTAATATATATATATATATATATATATATATATATATATATATATATATAAATCTTGCAGCATACCGATTGACCCATTGTAGCACCATTTTGGTTTGTCGAATATGTTTCCTGCATGGTTTCCCAAAATTCCGATAAGAAGCCAAACCACATTATGGCTGAAATCCAGCCATCCAGAAAAATTTTAGATTCAGCCGAAAACCAATTTTCTCGCCATGTGCAAGTCTAGAAATGTACCAATTATTTAGCTTGGGTGGCTTTCTACACCCTTGTAGTAATATAATTCAATGGGTGATGCCACTATGGAAGAACAGTCAGTTATGACAGCACAGACCATCAGAATTAAGTAGAATTAGCCTATACAGAAAAACCCAAGTGCAGCCTGTTTTTCTAAAAAAAATTTATTATTATTACCATTTATATAGCGCAAAAGATTCCGTAGCGCTTTACAATACTGTGAGAGTGGCATTTAACTATAAATAGGACAATTACAAAAAACTTACAGGAACAATAGGTTGAAGAGGACCCTGCTCAATCAAGCTTACATTCTATAGGAGGTGGGGTGTAAATCACATTAGGACAGGAATTTGCAGTCAAATACGGTGGGCTGCCCTTTAGGAGAGAGCAAGAGACAGGTATGTGAGGTAGAGGTTAGTCTTGGAGGCCATAAGCTTTCCTAAAGAGATGGGTTTTAAGGCACTTCTTAAAAGATGCAAGACTAGGGGAGAGTCTGATGGCGGTAGGAAGGCTATTCCATAGGAAGGGAGCCGCCCACAAGAAGTCCTGCAAGAGTGAGTTGGCCGTACGGGTGCGGACAACGGACAGGAGGTGGTCATGGGCAGAGCGGAGAGACCAAGAAGGGACATACCTATGGATCTGTGAGGAGATATAAGGGGCTAGAGTTGTTCAGTGCTTTATAGGTGTGAATTAATACCTTGAATTGACTCCTATAGCATACAGGAAGCCAATGTAAGGACTGGCAGAGGAGTGAGGTGTGAGAGAACCGACTAGAGAGAAAAATCAGTCTGGCAACAGCGTTCATTTTTGTTGTCAATTCTCTACAATTTTATGTTTAATGAGATATTTATCTTACAAATATATACTGAAGTATGGGAGTGTGTCACCACTTTGCACATAAACAAAATGACTTATGAATCCTGATATGTGGGTTTCACTGACTCTTCCAACTTACCTAGTATGAAAAAGTGTAACAAGGATTCTATGTTACCAAATAAGTCCAATTCATAATACTACTCCACATACACCATAATTTTAACCATTGTGGCATAATGCTATCTGTTGAAAGAAACTGCCCATGAAGGACACATGAACTACTATCACCCTGAAAGTGCCAAGAACACAGATTGTAGCCCTGTTTTGCCAGTGAATGAAGCTAGAGTTGAAGCTAATTGGTGTAAGAGTCCAAATATTATAAATTGCATGCACATCCTCCAATGAATGAAAACTAAAAAAAAAATGATGAGTGGGATTTTGACAAAAAGCAAAAAAAAGCTGTTACAGATTTATGGTATAAAATTAATTTTAATAGAAGAAAAGATAAGTTAAAAGTGGAAGTAAAAACAAAGTAAAAAAAAAAGCATTGGATGATTGTTTTTCTTACATTTTTGTCAGGGCCCAGAAAGCAGCACTGCACTTTAAGCAGTCCCAGGTTGCTGAGCTTCAGCTAAGTGGTCTGCGAGCTATTTGGAAAGAGAAAAAAAATATATAACCAACATCAATTTTTAGCTATTACAGAGTGAGAAACCAGTTTACCAGACAAACGTATCAAAATAGACAGATGCCTTGAAATGATCAGCAATTCACATCATGCTAAGATTTCACCTTAATGCCAGTTTTAAATAATGTTTATAAACAGTACCAGTCCAACTGCTTTATAATTCACTGCAATCTCCCCCCAGGCACTGGGAACAGAGTCTGCTGCAGACTATGTTTCAATTATGAATCCTTAGCATTCAGCAATACTCTAAACTGCATTCTGCAAAAAAAAGAAATATTCCAGCTTAACTGTTGCAGACCTAGATAATTACCATTTCTTATAATTCTACTTTATTACTGTAAAATAAAACACAAAATGGTTTATTGAGAAAACTGTAAGATGTTGCGCTAACAACCAACTTGCAAAATTAAGACCAAAGTTGCAGAATTTAAAAATAATCAACTCACAATGCAATTTTGCAAGTCATCTATGAACTCAGCAGAATGCAACGTTCAGTAAATAGGCAGCAAGATATTTTACTATGCCCATCACTTGTGTGAGGAATATGGTAAAGAACAAATATATTAGTCTGTGCATTAATATAAGCTGGATTGAATATTTTTGTTTTTTCTACAAATGTTTAGAAGAAAATAATAGTCAGATGACCATTTTTTATATTATAGAAGTACAAGAAGTAACATAATTAAAATTTAACACTTTCACTGAAGAAAAATTTTATTGACTAGACAGCACTGAATATTATGTTGTTGTTTTGATCATATTAACGTAGGTGTATAAATTATTATGTTTAATGCATTTATTTAACAGGTATTATATAGCAGTTTTATCCAAAGTGTTCAACAAATTGTAATCGTATATAATCATAGGTAGGGCAACAGACAGAATATAAAAGACAGTAAAAAAGGAGTAAAGGATGTGACTCAATATCCTCAAATTAAAGGCAAAATGGGTTATATGATCTGCAAATCAAAATTCTTCCTCTGATGTCTCAAGACTTCATTCAGTGTTTCATCTAATTTTGTGCACTTCCTTCTATGGCTACAAATAACATCTATCTATACAGTATTCCCTCCCCTTTCTCCATTTCAGACTTCTCACTAGTGCTCCATGATATGGCCCTTAAATAGAATGCCTCCTACTGGTTATGTAAACTCTTTCTTGTCAACACCATTTCTTGTTTATTTCCATTTAACTCCTCCCAGTTATCCATTCCATTACTTTACATAGACCCATCTATCTTTTTCACATTTTCCTCTAACCTTAAAAAGATGCAACATCTACCTGATATAAATGAATGGTCATTTTCTATTAGAAGCTTGTTTCTTCTAAACAAACAGTATTTCAAAATGGGCAAACTGGGAAAAAATAATTCAACTATATTTCCAGTTTAAATATTTTGCCCAGAAATACTCGTCAATTTTCAAACCATAAATCTAGAGCAAAATGATAATTAAAATAAATTGGGTTTAACTACAAATTAAGAAAATTGTGCTAATGCTTACATACTTTAAAGTACAAAAAATGTATAGTAATTATAAGGCTGTGTCAAACTAAACTGAAAAATAATATGAATAAATACAATTAGAATTTTCAAATCAAACAAGTCTTATTTTGATTTAGACGCTGAATCACTCTGGGCAATTATTACACACTGAGAGCAAACAATTAATTACATAATTTAATCCAATATTAAACATTACCTGTGCGTGAATCCATTTTTTCTTTTGGTATCAAAATAGTTCATCGTTGTAACTTAGATTCACAGCTAGGTTTGTCACTTAATATATGCAAATTATATGTACAAAGATCTGCATTTCCAATTTAGAAATTTTACTGATCATCTAAAATTAGAACTTAAAAAATTACCATCAATTTGAAGATGAAATATTAACTACACAGAGACAGAGCACATACTCAAATGGTGAAACATGTGAATACATTTGTATGAAATTACTGAAAGTAGATTTACCAATCAAGTACATGATTTACACTTTAACTGCCAAACAGCTCTGCAACGCAATGCAAGGTTAATTAACATATCACCACTATGCCAGATTTATATTAATCTAAAAATGAAATCACACGATAAGCAGGAGACAAACATGGAACAATAATTCAAACAAACAATCAAATATTCAGAATATTGAGGTTCATCTACTTCACTGGGAAAAAAAAAAAGAAATTATAAAATTTAGGCCAAAACAAGTAAAGATGTGAAAATAATATTATGTGCTGAATTAGATTCTTTTCCCCCCCAACAAGTTTAAATTTTACAATTTATTTGGCTGCCAATTACAACTCACTGTTTAGTGGCTTTACCTTTCAGAAAATGATAATAATAATAATAATAATAATTTCAATTAAATGTAAAAGATGCATGCAGCAGTGAAATAATTCAAGTCATAAATTATATCAGATTAAAAACATATCCCAGTATTTATATAAATATTTTTTTGCACTAACGTGTGATTTAACAATCTAACAGATTGCATAATTGAGAAAAAAAAACTGTAATAAGTGTTGAAGGGGAGTTTCAGCATATGAAAGTAGGTGAGCGCCTCAGTTAATGATGCAAAGAGTGAACGCGAAATAGCTCTGAACAATTAAAAAGGTCAAGCAGAAGAAAGCTCACTTCTCTGGCTGAGATACATTCAAGAATGATAGATTCCCACTTCAAGAATCCCACTTTGGTCATCGCTCCTCTGTATTTATGAACGTGTAAATATTATTCGAAGTGACTGTTAGATGCTATGACCTACTGCTGATCCCCAATACAGACACAGCACAGTGAGAGCCTTTCCACTTGACAGAACAAGGAAAATGAGGGGTTTCAGATCCTCCCACAATGGAAACAAAAGTTTGGCCAACAAAACTCCCTGGGACAATTTGTGTTGTCAGGATCACAAGCTGGTGCACAGGGCCAGTATGGGGCTCCCAAGCTCAGCCATAGCCACAGCAAAGCCTCTTACCTTGATGGTGTTAAGACATTTAGCAAGAGATAGCTTTTCCCTGAGCTCGGTTGTCTCTGCTCTGCGCCGAGTTCATGTAATTATTAGCTATCTGCTTTAAGCACTTTGGAAAGCCGAGCAGGTCATTATTGGCACAGAACAGGGCATCAATGAGCCGTGACGTCACACATTGGCGCACTCTCTCGGGCGTTCGAGGATGGGCGCCTCCCCTGGGCCAATGGGGAAGCAGAGGTAAGCAAAGGGAGAACCAATCAGCGCATGCGGGTGGGGATAGCAGTTAAAGGGAATCTAGGGGATGTGAGATGAGTGTATGATTAACTCTTCCTGACACAGGACGGCTGGACTCTGATCTCTTATAGATCACGGGCTTTGTTTGCCCATTGCAACTAACCTTTTGTTTTGTGCATAAACCGAACGTCATGGATATCCTCGCATGAGCATAATATACAGTGACACAAAACCACATACACAATATCTACAAACCTCCCTACAAGCTGTGGGGGGGCTGTACATGAAACATTTAGGAAAACTGAAGGAAACATTTTAGGAAAAAAGCCAAAACTGAACAAAAAAAATAGATTTTCTTTAAAAAAAAAAAAAAAAAGAGAGATTTTGCATCATTACAAATTTGGTCTACGTTTTGCAAATCGCAGCTTAGTGCAAGACGCGGCAACGTGCAAAGGAAAATATATCGCAATTTAAACCTCCGCTACCTAGAATTCAACAAGTAATGCAGTTCCTAATGGGCAGCTAGGGACACACCAACTTCGCTTGTGTGGACTATGAGAGAGAGGGGCTATGGTAACACAATGATCTGACTATTGCACTGCATTGATGATTGATGCTGTTAGGCAAGCTAATGTATCCAGTGTAAATTGCACATGGGCCGTATGAATTATTTTTAAAAGGATGTTTACAAAGCAGGAGGAAAATTAATTAGCTTCTTTTTTTGTGTGTGTGCAAAATTTGTAGCATTGCACTTGAAATGGATATGTATGAATCTCTATAGGTTCATATAACTTCTGTGGACAGCTCACAAATAAGAGATATCGGTCCATTGTTTGCATATACATCAGTGAGTTAGGCTTACACTTTAACATTTTTATGAAGATGGGTTAACAAATCAATGTATATATTATTTGTTCTGGTATTTTGCCTTTAATGAATGGGATTTAAAAGTAGGACTGTACAGGAATCGTAAAAACATATACTGAAAAATTTAGATATTTAAGTCCATATTAACTGAGGCAAAACATGTGCTATTTAAGGGCGAAGAACTAAACGATGGCAGACATTCTATTGGTTTCCATAGTGATTCGAGCTTATTTAGCACTTTGCTCCACAATATCGCCAAATTTTGCCTTGATAGATATGACCACTAGAGTTTCTAACGCTTAAGTCGCATAGTCGAATCGTTGTCTGAGTGCACAGGAATGTATAGAATCCCATCGTGGAAATAACAGAATTGTATCCCAAGAGTTTATATTGCTAAATTGGATCCGTGTGAAATCTACATCTAACACGACAGCATTGATTAACTAGGTACACTGCAAGAATCGGTTACTTAAAATCCAGCTATCAATAATTACACCGAATAAATTAACGATCACAGTCATTTAAATTGCAAATTAAATGCTTGTTGCTTTGTAATTTCCCTTCACATTTGCACACCCATGTGTTTGTGTATTTGCTTGCCCAGTGAATGTACTACATATACTACACATAGCCAATCCCATTAAAAGCCTGTACTTCATAAGTGTTTATCCAGATAAATTTATACAGATACCACATCTACTCACTATGAAGAGGTGATACCAGTTCGACCGGAATCTCTCAGTAGTGACATAGTGTAATCAGTCCTATGTTAAAACCTAGCTGCATACACATGATGTGATTGTCATACACGGTGCCTCTGGAAAGCTGGAAATTAAAATGTCAAATTACCTGTCATTAGTTATGCAATTAGTAGACAATTTATTTGGAATTAGTCGGCATGTAATATGGCATATTAAGGTTACAGCTCATGAGATTTTCAAAATGTTTCCCCTGGAAACATAAAAAAGGATACACCAAAAATTAATACATCAGACTACATAAGAAATCAATCCTCTCCCTCCCCCACACACACACACAAACACACACATATACACACACATACTGTTGGGAAATATATCCGGTGGAATCAGAACAGATTACAATCTCTTATCTGGGGGGATTTACTATACTTCATATGATTCTAATCTGCTTTCTCTTCAACCCTTTTATGAGTTTTAGATAGAAGGAGAAAATACCTGCTTACTCCACTAGATCTTTCCATTTAATTCGCAGTTCCCGACCTCACCTAATCACACATTTCTGGGAACTGGGATTGTAGGCAAATCTTAAAAGCTTGGTCTGCTGGGCTACATCAATATGATTCATATTTGTTAATGTCATATATATGAATGATACATTAAATGCATTCATTTTCATTATTCTTAATTTTGTTGTGCCCCCCGTCTTCCCCCAAATCAACAGGTACTCACTCGAGTATATGTATGTAGGTGTGATTATGGTAGCACTTACAGTCCAGACACCTCATTAACCAAACTAAAATATTACAATATTAAATATAAGGTCTGAGCATCTTGCAGAGATCTATAGAAAAACTTCCAAGTGGAATGAATTTGCTTCTCCGAATGATAAGGACTACCAGCCCTGTGAATGAGTGTGAACTCTCCTCCCCCACCCCCCATTGCATCTTAAGTATAGAAAGTTGGGATTGCTGTTTTACAGTGCTTGCATTGTGTGTGATGGCCATCAAGGGGCAGGTTTTGCCAAGGAACAGAGAGGTAGAAAGAGAAAGGGAAAAAAGCATGCTGATAATTGGGTAGCCCCATCACCATCCCTTTCTGGTGACAACACCCCAGTAGGAGTGGCTTTAGGCGTCAGAATCCTCAATTTCCAACTAAGCATCTTGGCAGGACTTTTTTTTTTCTTCTTATACCAAAGCTAAAGTCTACATCAACCCACCCATCCTCCCACCGAATCTTTCCCCTCCCTCTCAGTACAGAGGAAAAGCAAGGGGAAAAAAATCTTGCGAGGGAGCAAAGCAGCAAGCAGAACACAGAGGGAGAGAGGGATCAGCAGCCAGAGAACAAGAATTAAGACTTTCAGATTTACAACCGGTGGGGCTTCCAAAGTACCCCAAGGAGAACTGTTTCCCCATTTTTTTCCTTGCAGTGTGTGTCTCCAAAGATAAGAGTATATGCATGTGTCTTGCCATGTCCTATCCTCAGGGCTACTTATACCAACCATCTGCTTCTTTGGCTCTATATTCCTGCCCTGCATACAGTACCAGTGTCATCTCTGGACCCAGGACTGATGAGCTTGGAAGGTCTTCTTCTGGCTCTGCCTTTTCACCCTATGCTGGATCTACAGCTTTCACAGCTAGTTCCACTGGCTTCAACTCTCCCCTACAGTACAGCGGGGATCCAACTGCTGCATTTACTTCCTATGTGGTAAGAAATGCCATTAGCATTTTCTTAATACTGAGCTGCAAGGGGAGAGGGGATAGACAGAGGGCATAGTTTTGCGATGTAAATGTGCATTTCTTTGGCGCCCCAAATTCTATTATCACCCACTCACCACCCCCTCCGCTCCTTTTTCCCACACACTGATTAGGAGTTTGAAAATGTGCAATATTATAATAGCTTTGAGAAGTGTAAACAAAACCATGTCAGTAAACAAATACAATATATTGCCCACAGCAGGATTCCTTGTACATTGTATCCATATGTATCATAATAAAACACTGTAGCGAAATCGAATTCTGCTTTGTGTGGAGATGACTCAAAACATTATAGAAGTTCAATGCATTTATGCATTTAAAATAATTTAATATTTTATTTAAACAGTGCAGACTAAGAACAAACTTTAAAAAGGTTGTTTTGTTTTGTTTGTTTGTTTTTGCTATAGGCTGAACCGTAGCGAATTGGCGAATTAAAATGCATATTGCAAATTTGGGCAAAAAATAGCTGATCTGGTTAAATTCTCCAACTCAAGCTATATTCGCAGTTTGAAGATCTTTGCCTCAGTTTTCTCATTCGGATATTGATTCGCTACATTTCGGAGTTTAGTAACTAACCCTGTAAAAGTCACCAGCAATAACTACTCTAGGATGATTAGGGACCTTGTCCTTTTAATCTGTCATAATGTGACGTTAATGATTATTGTGGTGTGTGCAGGATAAATTAAAACGTACATGCCCCTGGGAATAGCAAGCCTGCCTGCCTATTCTGTCCTGTAAATTGGTGACCTTGGTTGTTCTTCACTGCAATTATCCTGAGTCTTTTAGAATGGGGTTATAGAAGTTTTTCTTAAGATCTTGTTTTTTGAGCAATTATAGATCCCGTTAGATAGGTCCTGGGTACTTGTACAGCTCTCTGGAATGCAAAGCGTTAAAAAAGGTTATCTGAAATTTTCAGTATGTTTTCAATTACAGAGGATTCCTCCATCAACCGGCGGGTGGGGTGGGGGGAATCCCAAATCGTAATGTGATCTTTAAAGCATTCACAGCCCTTGAATCTGTTTTACTTCAGATTTGTAAATCAGGCGTAAACTTTATTAAAGTGACCTGGTATTTAGACATTTCTGGAAATTAATCATAATTAATCATAATGGCCAAAATTCCTTGTATGATTGTATGGATAAATTAATATAGCAATGATATAGCAATACTTTATTGAAAATACAAGCTGTGTAAATATAAATATACATCTCTATCTGTCTATCTAAATATACATCTCTATCTGTCTATCTATCTTTATAGTGTGTTTTTCTTTGCATTAATATTTCCTTTTGTCTGTGCTTTTTATATTTTTGCATTCCCCCCTTGTGCGTTAATGTTTATTATATTTGTTGTCGGGGAAATAAAAATGTTTTGAATTACGTTTATTAGCTCAGCGCTGATTTAATTAGCAGTATAAAACCCCAGCAACAACCGATGTAATTAAAGCTTTGTGAACTTTTTAATTTATAGTTTTGTGGTTCTCTGTCAGTAACCCATTCTTAGGTGTGGTTATTCTGAGAAATTAAAGGGCATATGTAGATTCCTTCTGCTGTTTCGTCTCCCAGCTCCCAAATACAAAATTAAATACCGTACGACTGGTGTCTTAAAAATATAGTACATTTTATCTGACAGAGACTTGGAGTATTTGAATTGAGTCAGACGTCACATACTCAAAATGTAGGCCAAAGCTAAAAGGAACAGCAATCAAAATAACTATATACTCAAGTTTATATTTATGGATGTTATTGTAAACAGTGAAAGTACCTCTTCTATGTGCCAGTCTGTCTATCTATCTCTATTGAACAGACAATAAATAATATTGATATTTTAAACATAAGCCTTCATAAATAAAGAAACTACTTAAGACGTCATGTCAGAACTAATTATACTTTGTTTCATTTGTAGGGCTCCCCATATGACCACAGTTCAAGTATGGCGGGATCATTAGGTTATCACCCCTATGCTGCCCCTCTGGGATCGTATCCTTATGGTGACCCAGCCTACAGGAAAAATGCCACGAGAGATGCCACCGCCACTTTAAAGGCCTGGCTCAATGAGCACAGGAAAAACCCTTACCCCACCAAAGGTGAGAAGATTATGCTGGCCATCATCACCAAGATGACTCTCACTCAAGTGTCCACCTGGTTTGCCAATGCAAGGAGGAGGCTTAAAAAGGAGAATAAAATGACCTGGACCCCTAGGAACAGGAGTGAGGACGAGGAAGAGGAAGAGAACATCGATCTGGAGAAAAATGATGAAGATGACCCGCAAAAATTAGACGAAAAGGGGGATCCTGATGGGGACACAGGTTGGTTTTGTAAATTCTTTTGACTTGCAATCTCAAATTACGTATGCTTTTGATTGTGAGGGAGGGTAATTGGGGAAAGGGGTGGGAGGATAATATTTTAATGAGAATTTCTAAACACTATGGGCACTAGAGCAATGTAATAAGCATAATGAAGTCTCTCTGGTATTGAAGGGTTTAACTATCAGAGTGCCAGATGTGAGCATTAAATATCAGTGTGCCAGATATTTTGCATGCTACATCCCAGATTTTTTTTAAAATCTAAAATGGAAAAAAGAAAGGTTTCAATTATTTTGAAATCTACAATACATTAGGAATTTTTTGTTTTAGCATTGTTTTTTTTTTGGGGGGGGGGAGTGGGAGGGAAGGGGGGATGTTAAAAATAGAGAGTGCCATTTCCAAAATCAAACATTACAAAAACAAAAAACAAAAAAATACATTAAGAAAACCCTAATAGATCATTTGGCCTTTGTCTGTTATTTGTTTGTAGGGAAGAGAACTCCTAGCCTGGAGGAGCCTGATCGACTAGAAGGCACTGCACTACATGGAAAAGAATTAAACCCCATCAGAAGTGACTCGGAATTAAATGAGATAGAGGACAGAGGTGATCTCCTGTCCAAAGGCAATGCCCCAACTCCTCCATCGCTGTGTCAAACAGTACAGATCCAGCAGACAACAGAAGAACATCCTCTGCACCATCATCTTCTTCATCACCACCCAACAGTTCAGCAGCTCCATTCTCAACACCACCAAGCTCACCCCCTAGACCTAGCTCATAGGAGTACCCAAATCCAGAATGGTACAGTCGCGAGCAATGCCACCTCAGTCATCCACTCTCCTCCAACTTCCACCTCTAAGCCAAAACTGTGGTCCTTGGCAGAGATAGCCACCTCTTCGGACAAGAGTAAAGAAAGCAGTTCTCCAGGACCTGGGGCAACTGCAACTCAGTCTATAGTTGGCAATACCTCTTCCCCATCCAGGTCTCCCTCTGCCCCTTGTCACTTCCCAAACAACGCTGTTTTACCCCGTCCCCTGTACTACAGTACACCTTTTTACCCCGGGTACACGAACTATGGGTCATTTGGCCACCTTCACAGTCATCATGGACCCAGCACAACGCCATCAGCCAACAGCGTCCCACACTTCAATGGATTAACCCAGACTGTCCTAAATAGAGCTGAGGTCTTGACCAAAGAGTGCAAACTTAGAACCCAGTCTCAAGTAGACCTTAACAAAGAAACTACTTATGAAATGAAGAAAGGTATGTCCAGCATTTAATTATGGCTCCTTCTGCAAGCATTTGGACAATTTTAATTTATTATTCATATAATGCCTTGACAATTTATCAGTTCTGCCACCGAGAAAATAAATTAGTTCAAATATTATCTGGCCAATACAAACTTTTTCTTTCCAAATTTTGACTGGTTTAACACGTCTTAATCCAAACTACATGGAAGTACAAGATTTGTATTAATTTGATTCTGTATATTTAATGTAGCAATTTTGTATTTAAATGGATCATCAATATCTTTGAAGTAAATTATAAAATCAAGACAGTTGTACAGTGACTTATGCTGTTTTTGGTAATATAAATATATACATTTCAATGTTTTCTTGAATTGTTTCATAGTAAAAAAATACAACTAATTAATTTAATTTTTAAACGTTTCGATTTTTTTCTTCATTTGTAAAGGGGCATACTTATTGGATAGAATTAAAAGTCAGATCACGTGTATACACGGTAAATAATTAAAATAAGTTTTAACAAAAGGAAAACAGTACAGTATTGCTTGGACATAAAAGGTTATTATTATTATTATTATTACTTTAACCCCTTAAGGACCAAACTTCTGGAATGAAAGGGAATCATGACATGTCACACATGTCATGTGTCCTTAAGGGGTTAAACTGATACAATCCTTTGAGGATGAATAAACACACACAAAAAAAATCAGATTCAAAAATATATTCCTATCATAAATAACTTGGTATAAAGATCAATCTATTGTATTGATTGATAGACAGACAGACAGACATACAGACAGACAGCAATTTCTTCTTCTAAAAGAGTTAAGGCTCGTAGTGGTGTGTAAATATTCCCTAAACTTGGTGGTAAGTTTGAAGTTATTAAAATATTGGAGTTGGTAAAAAATATACTTTTGAAATCCTACGTTGCCTTAATTATTGCATCAAAAGTAATTATCTATCTATCTATCTGTCTATCTACAGAGCCCTGTATAATATTCTTCTTATTATTATTCTTATTATTATTTATTATAATAATAATAATTAATAATAATAATAACAACAATAGCAAAACTATAGCAAGACATTATCCTATACAGACAGGGTACTCGAGTGAAACTGTGCAGCAGCGAAATTTACGTAATTGCTGCGTTTCACAGGTAGGTGTCACACTTGCTCCTGATTTCAATTTTAAATCTTCGCATTGGTGGCAAACAAGAGAACGTTGAAAAGTGGCTCCAAAAATGCAAATGCTAAATCGGGCTGAACCCTTCTGCCCCCTTCACACACAAATAGGTATTAAATCGCTCATGAAATTTAATTACAAAACACTAGCAATGCGTAGCTGCATTGTGCCACTTATACCTACGCCATATCAACCTAAACAGTTACATATTTATTGTAACATCCAAGCTTTGTGAAGCATATTTTTTTAAAGAATATCTAAATGAATATATAAATATGTGAATTTAACATGACCCTAAATGTATAGCTATTTAGTATTAAAATATTTTAAAAGCATTATTCATGATTTCCGTATGAAATATTTTTATGTGAAGTTATACACGTCCACATACATAAAGAAATTCGTTAGATTTTTTTTTCCTGTGTCAAATGAATATTTACTTACAGAGAATAAATCACTATTTATCACATTTACATACTTCATAGCAAATGGAATCCTATTGTGTAAAGAAGTTCTCAAAGTATGAAAGAGTCGAAAATAATACTTCCGAACTTTCCAGTGTCATAACAAACTAGATGTAATACTTAGAAGGAAAATTGATTATGTAGAATATTTCATGTAATTCAATAACTGAAATATTTTAGGGGCTCTTAACTAAACAGTTAATAGCAGACTTTCAACATTTAGGTAAAATATTTTTTTAAAATATCTACATATGTCATAATGTTTGTTTCGAAATTAAGTTTGTGTTTTATCAAGGTAACATCACCATTCGTACATAATTCTTTGTTTTCTCAGATTTTTTTCATGTTTGATGTGATTTAGAAACTATTATTTCACATATGAAACGGTTAACACTGACAGAAAGAGTTATCTGCAAAGTTTGACTATTACTTTAAAATATATAAAACAATATTCATCGAAACCAGTTAATTTCTACCTCTAAAAACGTAAAATTTTATATATTAAAGGTTATATGATATTTTTTCCTATTTTAAAAAAAATGCAGAACACTCATTTTTAAATCCTTAAGTATTTTCAAAACTTAAAATCCAAAATGTTTTGTTTTACACAGTACTGAACCCCCCCCCCCAAAAAAAAAAGAATCTCACTAAAAGTTGGATGCTTGTTTATTATCAATCTAGAAATATTATGTTTTATGTATAGTACAAAACACAAAATATTACTCAAACAGAACCAAATCATTTCGTTAATATAAAATATTAGAAGTTAAAATCTATGGTGATGTGAAGTTAAAATACAAAAGACACTTTTACGTTTTTGCTTATAGAAATTTGTCTAACATAGTTAATACTAAACATAAAAATAGATTAACAAAACAAAATAATGATCCCTTTAAAACATAATAAACATATCAAATTAAGAAATATCTGAGTTCGAACATTTAATCCAGGATATTTAAAACTAGGGTATTAAGAGTAATAATAATAATAGACACAGACATTTTTTTTTTTTTAAATTAATTAAATGCATGCATTCTCAAAAATATTGATTTTGTTTTTGGAGATAAAATCAATATGTGTTTAGCTCTAATCAAACGTTCGAGGAAAAATTATTGGTTTAATAATATAGGTATTGTACCTAGTAATATAAATGGAGCAAGCACTTTGGATCTGCACAAACTAGAATGGTCTCTGCATAAAGCAACTGAGTTATGATAAATCATGTTGATATTTTCTTTTCTGTTTGATTAATTTACTTACTTTCATTTCTCAAACTGAGCTGATTTTGTGAGATTAGCGGATTTAAAATACCAACATTTGTATAATTCTATTAAACTGGTCTATATGTATATCAAATATAACGCTTGTTGCTGCGTTTATTGATATACTAATGAGTTCAGCGCTGAATCGGTTAATAGCAACGGGCCGATTAATGAGAATCTAAAACATAGATACACTTTCTAAAAAGGACCTATCACCCGAGTCTAGTGATCTGCAAAGGAGTTAATTTAGTGCATTTTCCCCACACATTACATTCAAATATAATTACCAAAATTTGAATTCTATTGTATATTAATTTACATTTGTATTTTTAATCATGTTTGCTTTTTTATAATTAATCACCGAGTTAAAATTTTTGAGGACAGTAATTATTATTTTACTAAAGAATTTAAAACATGGAAAAGGATTGATCTTTCAAATAAAACATTTCTTCTAGATGTTATTAGTTTGTCCATTTAGACGTAGCTTGCAAGTAATTTTCTTCAAACCGATTAAATATTCTGTGGAGGATTTTCTGTTTAATTAAATGATCTACAAGCTTGTCCATGAGGAATTATTAGATCCCCTGAGTGGATCTCTGCAGAATGAATCAAGTTACCACTTTACTCGCCCACCTACAGAAATCACTCTAATGACCATTTATTCTGGGCAACTGTGACACACACACACATCTCTCTCTCTCTCTCTCTCTCTCTCTCTCTCTCGTCCCTGGAACACCCTTCTGACATTAGTGACTAAAATATTACGAAAAGGTACGTTTTATGTGTCACATCATTGATGATATGCAGGCTTATGCGCAGCTTCATTACAATTTATTTTCCCTGCACTCATAATATCAAGAGAAAAATGCTAACAAATAAAGGGTGAATGACATTTCTATTCACAAGTGCTGCAAATGCTATTTCACAAACGATATTTTCGGTGAACATGCTGTCAGTCAACTAGCAAGGGCTTTAATCATTTCTTCTTTATTCTAAACTTCATTGCAATCATAAATGATGACAATAAAATACACCTGATAATTACAAAATGCAAGATCGATCATCTATCAGATTAACAGATAATTGTTTTTTCTCTTCAAGTATGAATAGCAATTTTCACACCTAACAATTAATATACAACCAACAGATAGCAACCATCTGAACATATATATATTTATCTATCTTATAAATATACTTTTCCTAGCATTCTCAAAGGGTTTAAAACTCTAACTCACTGGAGCCATGCTTAGTTTTGTAGTTAAAATATTACCATTTTTATTTCTTTTGGGTGTTAAAACTACTTGAAAAAAATAAACAGTCTTACTTTTTATTAAATATATGTAATTGTACAGAGGATTAACTGTGCTCTGTTTCTAGTTTAGGTTAAGAGGGTAACTTCTAAAAGCCATCTAAAAGTTGACAACCAGCAAGTTATATTGGAAACAATGAACAATAACAAAACATGCCTAACTATGATACAAAAAGATAATTACATTTTGAACAACATTCTAGAGGCTAAAATGTAAAGCAATTGCAGTCATACACAAAATATGTGTTGGCAAAACTAGGTAGCATATAATTAACAATTTTACTACTTGCTTAGTTAATATCTAATCTGTTTCTGCTGCCAACTGGGATGATTAACCATTTGGAAACAAGTGGGTTCATTCACCGAATAGTGATTGCTTTATTCACTAACAGCTGACAAATGGCTTATAAAATTTAGGCCACAAAAGCTGAAAATTTCAAAAGAAGAGAAAGAAAGATCCCCCCTCCCTTGATTTGGCTATTTTGGACTACAGTTTGCAAGCTTATGACAGCTCATTTGTTTGTCAAACATAATTCTTTGTGTGTTGTCAACCAGCTTGTAAAATTAAGGATAAATAGTAGAGAGGACTATTGACTAAATTGAAGGGAAGTGAAAATCAACTTGGAAATTACAGGATAAAATAGGTCTGCTCTGAAAAATCTCTAGACTGATTGATCTGAATGATTCTTCTACTTTGGCAATTTTTATTTAAATGTTACAAGTCACTCAGTTGTCAACTCACCGCAACTTACTAATTTTGTAGGGAATGAAATAGATATCTACTAAGCAAATGCATTTGTTGCACTCTTTGATCTTTACCGAGAACAAACAACACACAGGAAAGTAGAAACAGGTTTATTTTATACTCGACATTCATATCACATTTAAATAGTCAAAGCATATATTTTGTTATTAAATTTAATTTTATTTCATGTATGGTATCATCAAACAGAAAAGTTTTGTAATTAGTTTTTAAAAAATGTTAATTTCAACATTTCTGTGTAATGCATAACTATTTAAATTCTATTGATTTTGCCCACATTTATATAAAGGTTATCTATTGCTTGTTGTACCGTTTTGTTTTTCCAAAGTCTTACGCTGTTAATTACTGTTATTGCACATTTGTGGAAATCAGATTTATTATGGAACAAATAAGCCACTTAAATCAAAATAACTGGGCCAGTCTGTTTTGTCCTTAGTTTTTTCTTTCTATGTATTCGACCCATCTTCCCTGTTCCCTTTTATATGTGACCTGCTTAGATTATTAGAAAAGACATCTGGGTTGGCAAAGGTACAAGTGTTTTCAAAAGGAGAACCGTCTGTTTTTCCAAGTGAACAATATGTTAATTCTAAAGACCCCCTTCCCTGCTTTCTTAAGATTGAAGGGGAAATAATACGCTTCCACAAATGCAGCGATAAGGGACAAGGGGTTTCCTCTATAAAACAAGTGGCAGTTTTTAATTTAAGCTTTGTGTTGGCCTCAGAAACAGTGTGGCGTATTTTCGTGATCTGTCCCAGGGAAAAAAGAAAAAGGCCTTAATCTGCCTCGCCTTGGGAACAGAAGGGTAAAGAAAGAGCAGTGAGATCGTGAGAGAGAGTGCAAGTGTGTGTATATGTGTGTTTGTGTTATTTATTTATATATTTTCAATGAAATCATTTAGGGATCAAGAGATACACTTATTAAATTGTCAAATCCCAACAATAAGGCTGTTAATTAATTATGGGTGCTCAAAATTCAGGCCAGCTGTCTGTTCCTTTCTCCTTGTCTGCAGGTCTGACATAGATACAGACTTCTATACATCACTCATGGTATACCACATTTTACTGATGTCTATTCTTGCAGTTGAAACAGAAAGTGACAGATGGAGGGTAGAGTTTTGCATTCCTTTATTTTGTACTTTCCAAACGGTAAGGTGCAAATGTTTAGAAACTTGTTGCGTTTTAATGAACCAACACATGTTTCAAATTGTCCATATTATATATTTCTAAAAGGTTGAGTTGCATTAAATTAAACTAAACTACACAATTTTGAATCGAATTAACGGTGTGATATTTCCAAGTTACGAATTCTTTAAAGGCAAGTTGATTGCAAACTTTAAAATGTTTCACTAGGATAATATTGCTTTGGTAAGAAAATTACCTAACTTGTTTTTACTTGCATATAAAGTTGGCAATTTAACGAAAAGGGCATTTATCTGGTAAAATTGATTCAATTAAAGTGCACAATTGTGAACGATGGAAAACGAAATAAGAAAAAAGAAAAGAAAAAAGTGAACATCCCACCATTCATACCACTAAGTAAAAGGACTAACGTTTACATTTCTGGCTAATCCATGGCAGCATCACAGTAGAGTTAGCTCCATCTCCTTGGCTGTGTAGGAGAGAAAATGAACGCTATAAATACCCCTCCTTAGGGCTGCCATCAGAAATTGTGGGCCCCCTAACACAGCTCAAGCTATTGGCCCCACGGAGGCCCGCCTGCAAGGCCCACCCCCAAATCCCACCCACAAGACCTGCCACTAAATCCACCCACAAGGAAGCAGTGTTTGTAGAGTAGATACAGGGTGTGTGTTTTGTGGATGCAGTGTGTGCTTGTGTATTGGCTGCAGTGTGTGTTAGTGCATGTGTATGAATGCAGGTGTGCATTTGTGTGTAGAGTATACACTTCCATACACAAACACACTGATACTCAAACACATACACTGACACACATGCAAATACACAGACACACAGATACACACATATATACCCACACACACACATACAGCCACATGCACAAGGACACAGATACACTCAAAAAATACACATACTGAACACACACACATATAGTGACACAGACATATACTTACATACACAGACACACACATACACACACGTACACACACACACACACATATAAGGACATAGACACACACATACATACAGCTCATTTTTCAGGGTAGCTGGGGATGATGGGAGTTGGTGTGGATCTCCCTCTTCATGGCCTATCTCTACTCCTTCCTGCGTGGAGAGCTGGGAGGAAGTGACCGGCCATCACTTCTTCCCAGCAATAGTTGAGGCCAACATTTTTAAAGGGGCCCGGGTGCTGACCGGGCTTATCGGGTGGCCCTAAGTGCATGCACTTGATGAGCCCTATATCTTCAGGGGCCCGGCCAAAGCTGTGGCCATGCAATAAAATGACCGGACCCCATCAGCCAGGCCGGGCCTCCCAGGGCTGCTGGCTCGTGACAACCATCATGATTGTCACCCCCTGATGGCGGCTCTGCCCCTCCTACAGGATAGATTTGCCAGACTTTTTTCCTGTCATACTGGTTGTGGACAAGTTCCTTTCTAAGGTTTACTGTTTTATTTTATGCTCACCAGAAGACTTTTTAAAACGGCCAAGCCAGGAGAATTCAGCTTCTCTTTTCCTGGAGGAGACCCAATGCACGCAACCCTGATAAAGGTGACTCCCTTTGACCACGAGTCTGACCTAGACTCTCTCCTGAAGGAGATGACAATGGTTTATGGGGTGCAAGGAAGCCTTTAGATTAGACAAATTAGGTTTGATCTAAGCATTCATAAATACACTTCCTTTAAGCAGATTTGTAATTGCAGAAAAAAAAAACATTATATTTGATCTACATATTGAACTTGTACAGTAGCATGTCAATTTGTGGCACTGAGAGCTTGACAGTGATTGAATGGCAAGTGAGAGCCTTCCTCCTGACAGTTCTCCTGTTCTATGTCACAGCAATACTCTATAAGTGCATTGATATTGCAACTATATGCAACTTGCATCTTGCACTTACTGGGGAAAATAGGAATAGAATGCCATGTGTTTCTCTATTTTGATTTTAATATCTTTTCAATGAAGCCAGTATGTTGGTGTCACTGGAGAGGATTGCTGTCCCTAGACAACTGAAATTATAACACTGTATATCCCTGTAGGGAAACAGTGCATAGGTGGGAGAAGAGAGTGGATGTTACAATAATAATAGACATGACACTATGATTGTTAGACCTGTGAATTCATGTGCGAATGAATTGCAATTAAAGGTACACTATCACCAAAAACAACTTTAGCCGTATGAAAAAGTTTGGGTGTATATATCATGCCACTGAAGACTCATTGCTCAATTTTATAACATGACAGGAGGCTTCGTATTTGCTTTAGTCTCTCTTTACTAGAACTCTACAGCAGCACAGAAAAACAACCAATCAGAGAAAAAATAGGTACTATAAAACTCCCCTTCCCATGCATCATTTCCTCTTTCTTTGCTGCTCTGCAGTCAGTACAGGTCAGAGTACCACTGCCTCCTGCTATTATTAGTGGGTGGCTTTGGGATTTAGTTATGACTTATTTATGAGTTAAATGTATTATAGCCGGCCACTGGGAGGTAGGTAAAGCACATCCCTCACGTCCAGGAACCAGGACGCCGGCGAGTGAGTGAGACGTGTCTAAACCTCCTGGCGTGCAGTGACAGTATGAGAGATGTATATTTGCATAGGCTGAAAAAAGTCTTGCATCCATGTTCAGGTTCAGCCTTTCCACATCTGCGTCTGCTGTTAATCCAAAGGAAGGAAAAAACAAACAAACAAACCAAAAAACAGTTTGAAGCTCTTTCCAAGTTTGCAACAAACTAGAAGAAATGTCCTTATTGACCCCAGAATGGCAGTCAAATTTCTCATTGGATCAATGAGCTGTTAACCCACTGTCGGGAACACAGGTTAGTGGACGGAGCCCAAGATGCAGATAGATGCTGAAGGCAAAGAACCAAGTTCACAGTACCAAGGGATTAGACAAAGAGAATAGTCGGGGAAGCCAAAGGTCAGCACAGGCTCAGAAGCAATGATCCAGGCAAGGATCAAAATCAGGAACAGGATCAGGATACAACAGGAGAGTCTCTGAAGGTCTTTACACAATCAGGAGCACAGGACAACTGAGCGAAGAGTGTTCCACCCTGGTCTCCACCTATTGTACCTTTAACAGTCTCTGTGTCAGTACGCGCACGCCCTTTGATTCTCCTGAAGTTCTTCCTTCTTTGTGGTCGCACGTGGAAGCAGCAGCGTTCGTACGCTTGGAGTTCTTCCTTCTCTGTCTGATAAGTGGTGTTCATGCGAACAGAGGTGACTTCTCAAGATTATTTTTAAATAGGTTGATTAGAAGTGGTCCTAGAACAGACCCTTGAGGAACACCACTTACTACTTTTATCCAGTTTGAAAATTTTAATGAACAAGAATGAATTATCAAAGTAGATCACATCCACTGTCATTGTTCTTCCCAACGAATTCCTAAATATTATTAATCTATAATCCTTCAAATAATGGTAACCATAGTGATAGACCACTCCCATACCAAGTCCCAGTATAATAGTCAGCACCTCCCCACACAATTCCTCTTTCTTTGGAGATGCGACACCAAACCAGCAAATAGGAACCGATGAACAGTCCAGAACTCAGCAGACCAAACCATCCCAAAATCCAGCCGGATACTTATCAGGAACCATCTGTGAACTGGGACTAAACCAGCAACAAATGACTAAGTGCCAACAACAGAGAGTCCGTCACAGCACCATCCATAGATTTCCAGTCAACGTGGTGAAGTCTTGGGAAGAAGTGAGAATCTTTACACAGCACCAACAGCGCAGAATCAACCTGTGAAAACATAAAAAACAGGAGCCCAACCGTTAAATCGGTAATAAAAACCAATTGCTCATGCCAAACCATAATATATTGATATACTGAAACCACATAGTGCCCCGAATGTCAGACAAGAGAACCACCACCAGGCCAACATAACATTAACAGTACGGATGCACATAAAAAGGCAATACCATGTTGAACTCAGTGCAATACTTACCAACTGTCACGACACTACTTAGTTGATTTGCCCTCGCGCAGTACTCACACTCACCACTGTTTCTGTTTGGCACTGTTCCTGATTTCTTTTCATTAAGCACTTCACCTGGTCCTTGTTTAGCACCTATTTAGTATAGTTTCTCCCCTCACCAGTGGCGGCTCTAGACTTGGCGAGGCCTTAGGCGAAACTCATACATGAGGCCCCCACTAACACCATTATTGGAAAAAAACAGCAGTTGACTTGTGTGTGTATAAGAAGCTGTAGATATATTGAAGGGCGGGCTTGCAGTACTGGATATAGAGAACTAGTCTTTATATACGTCGTTGCATTGTCTACCTGTGTGTGCCTGAGAGTGTGTGTCTGGCAGTGAGTATCTTTGTATATGTATGCATGTTTCTCTGAGCATGTGTATGTTTGTGTTACTGCCTGAGGCCTTTGGCATTAAGTTCATGGCGAAGCTATGTTTTATGACAGTGTGTAGAATGATTGCCTTCAGGGGGTGACAGGGTGAGTAAAGGAGTAACTGTGGCAGGGTGATTGTAAAAAGAGCAGGAGGGTGCCAGAGTGCGGAGAGTGGTGCCCGTGTGTTTAGAGGGAGAGATAGTGTGTATGGAGGGGGGTGACAGTGTGTGCGGAGAGAGGTGACAGAGTGTGTGGGGGTGACATAGTGTAGGGAGGTGGCATAGTGTGAGGGGGTGGCATAGTGGGTGACAGAGTAAGAAGGGGGTGACAGTGTGAGAGGGTTACATTAGTGTAAGGGGTGTGACAGAGTAAGAGGGGAGTGACATTCGTGTAAGGGGTGTGACAGAGTAAGAGGGAAGAGACAGAGGGGGGAGACCTAGTGTGAGGGAGGGTGACATAGTGTGGGGGGGTGACAGGGTGAGAGGGGGGTGACAGAGTGAGAGGAGGTGACAGTATTAGGGGGTGACAGTGTGAGGTGGGGTGATGGTGTGTGGGGAGTGACAGGGTGGGGGGTCAAAGGATGGGTGACACAGTAAGAGGTGGGGTGATAGAGTGAGGGGGTGACAGGTGAGGTAGCAGGGTGAGAGGGGGTGACAGGTGGGGTGGCAGGGTGAGTGACAGGGTCAAATGTGGGGTGAGAGGGGAGGCAGGGTGAGGGGGTGACAGGTGGGGTGACAGTGTGACGTGGGGTGACAGTGTGAGGTGAGAGTAAGGGGGGTGACAGTGTGGGAGTCACAGGGTGCGTGACAGTAAGAGGTGGGGTGACAGGGTGAGGGGGTGACAGGGTGAGAGGTGGGGTGAGGGGGGTGACAGGTGGGGTGGCAGGGTGAGATGTGGGGTGAGGGGAGGTGACTGGGTGAGAAGGGGTGGCAGGCTGAGGGGGTGACAGGTGGGGTGGCAGGCTGAGAGGGGGTGGCAGAGTGAGAGGGAGTGAGGGATGACAGGTGGGGTGGAAGGGGGATGACAGAATGAGAGGTGGGGTGACAGGGTGTGACAGGTGGGGTGGCAGGGTGAGATGATGGTGACAGGTGGGGTGGCAGGGTGAGGGGGTGACAGATGGGGTGGCAGGGTGAGATGATGGTGACGCTCTAATTGGCTGGAGAGCGTGAGACACCTCAGTCTGCAGCTCACACCCGGCGGGACTGAGGCCGGCACCCCGGTGGCAGACTGAGACCGGCTCTCTCCCCGGGTGGACTGACAGGAGGGGCCTCGCAGCCGGCGGCATACAGGGCAAGTCATGTCAGTCTGCCCTCAGGCGATTTAGGCGGCCGCGAGGCCCCTGACTGCGCAAGGCCTTAGGCGGCCGCCTAAATCGCCTAATTAGAGAGCCGCCTCTGCCCCTCACTCCTTGCCAGATCATTACCTTTTGTTTCCTGTTTCACTGGTCTCCTGTGTTCCTGGCTCCTGCATACTGTGACTTGGTCCTGTGTCCTGTGTTCTCCTGGTCTTCATCCTGTGTCCTCCTGATCCTGTGTTACTGTGTTCTCCTGGTCCTTCGTTGCTGTGTCCTCCGATCCAGTGCTCTGGCTCCGTGGTCTCTGATTTACTATCAGCGATCCTGTCCCTGCAGCCTTGCTGATTTATTCGTTCTTGTTGTCACTACATTAGTCTTGTGACTTTGGATCTGTGCCCTACCTGATACCCGTGGTAGCTGCACAATCCTACCCTAATACCAAAGGACTGTTACAGTATTTGTTGCCTGCACGATTTGTGCTTATTTTGATTTACGGTGTATATATTTTGTGGCCTTGTCTGTGTATGTATATATTTTGTTTTACGTTCTGCTTTGGTTCCCTGTAAATATACATTTCTTGATTTAACCTATTTCATTTGTGTCTTGGCATTTATTTCTTTGCTATAGTGGTTCCCACATTTAAAGGGACAGTGCTGCTCCAGGGCAGCACCCCTTCATGTCATTACACTAACCTGAGCTATAACACAACAGGGGGGGAAAACACAATGATAGAAAAATAAAAGGGTGGGACAATACTCGCCTCCGTGTCTTTCATAAAATCATGACTTTCCGTCATGAAATGGCAAAATCATGTAATTTTATGTCAAGACACGGAGGCTCATATTGCAAGTTTAAAGCTGATCAATAACCGAAGAGAAAACATGTGTTGAAGGCCGAAAGTAAAATTCTCTGAAGGTGGATTCGCAGGACCAGTCCGCCATCCTCATCAGGTCTTCCAGGCGTGCTCCCGAAGATACCATAGACATGCCTGATGCCCCTCGTGAGGAGTGAGCGCTAAAGATGGATGTATCCACACCGGCCAGTGACATCACCCATCTCACCCAAAGAGCCAAGGCAGTGCTGGAAACCGGGGCGAAGGGTTGACGAATCGAGAGAAAGAGCTGAGGGGACGCGGCCGAATGATGGGCACTCGTCCGAAGTTCATACTCCCTCAAACAGGTCACCGGACATAGCGCCGGGGTAGTTGGAAAACTCGGATATGAGACCGAACGTATAGCTGTCTTAGTGCATCTGGAGATTTTAACTGTCACTCCATCCGGAGTGAAGGCCTAGCATTGTAGTCCAGGGCTCGTACATCCGAGACCTGTTTGCACGAAATGAGGCAGAACAGGGAAACCAATTTGGCCGACAGTTGTCGCAGGGTGAGGTCCGCATTAGGAGGCCAGAAAGTAAACAGTGACAAGACGAAGGAAACGTCCCATGTAGCCGAATATCGAGGTCTGGGGGGACGCGACAGACGTGAACCGCGAAGTAATCAGCACACCAAGGGGTGTTGGCCCGCAGGACAGCCGTCGAAACCTTGGTGAGCTGAAGAGATGTCTGATCTATACAGGTTACAGGCGATATGCCCGACCAGCCTTGAATAATGAAGTGAGGAATTGGAGTATCGCTGTCACAGGTGCCGAAACGTAATCCAAGTCCCGAGCCAGGCACCAGCCAGTCTCCAAGCAGTCCCTTATGATCGTCTAGTGCCGGGGGCCCATGCGTCAGCCAGGAGGCGTCGAGTTGCATCTGAAACTCCTTGGATATCCCAGGAACCCCGGAAATCCTCCATGAGAGTAGCAGCAATGACCCATACAGTAGGAGGGGGTGTCGTTGGCCCAATGGGTCCAGCAGAAGATCCTGGCAGGATGGCAGAAGTCTGGGTACATCTATCGCCAGATCCAGGAGCTGTGGGAACCACAACTGGGTCCCCCAGAATGGGTTCAGTAGGACCAAGTCGGCAATCTGGCGTCGTACTTGGAGAGGGAAGCTGAGAGATAAAGCTTCTGAGTCTACTGGGAACCCGAGGAACTCCATGCGTCGGGAAGGGGTCAGGCAGGATTTTTCCCAATTGAGGATAGAAGATCCATCGTCCCCTGTAGGTGTGTCAGGAGGACCGAGCGGTCCTGTGCCATGAGGAGGATGTCATCCAAATAGACTATCAGTCTTACTCCTCGACTGCGCAACCAAGCCATGGCAGGGTGCATCAATTTGGTGAAGCACCACGGAGCTGACGAGAACCCGAAAGGGAGGCATGTGAAGCGCCAAGTATTGCCTTTCTAGAGGAAATGTAGTAAGTCCCTGGATGCCTCGGTCACTGGGACTGTCAAGTATGCGTCCTTGAGGTCTAATTTTGCCATCCAGTCTCCCCGAAGGAGTAAGTCCCGCAGGAGATGAATGCCCTCCATCTTGAAGTGGCAGTAGCGCACTAGAGTGTTCAGGGCCTGGAGGTTGGTAACTGGGCGCACCTTTCTTTTCTACAAGGAAGATGTTGCTGAAAACCCCTGTGGGGGACATTTGGGCCCGTTCTACCGCCCCCTTCGTGTGGAGAGCCGATAGCTCCTCGTCTATTAGTGCAGGGTCTGTCCCTGAAAGTACAATAGGGTGAGGGGGAGGAATATGACACGGGGTGTCGACCAACTCTATGTGAAACCCCCTCACTGTGGTCAGAACCCAGGCATCTGAGGTGATGTCTAACCAGGCTTGGAGAAAATGACGGAGTCTGCCCCTACACAGATATTGGAAAAAACATGAGGTAAATGTAAGCTTACTGTAAGGGCGTCTGGAACCGAGGTTCCCTCTGAAGCCTCTGGAGCGCAATGGCCTCCCACGTGAAGGGAAGAAAGGGGACTGTTGTCTCGTCTCCTGGTAGGATGGTCTCTGGTTGTAGAAGCCTCATCCCAATCCACGGGCGTGGTAATTAGACCGGCCGGACAGATGCCCCCTGAATCTGCCGGCCCTGGTAGAGACCGGTCCCTGAAATAACCTCTTCATAGAAGATTGAGCCTT